ACGCCCAGAGCGGGGTGAGGTTCCGGCGCTCATGCTTTAGGAAGGTGCTCCAGCCGCCTGTGCCGACAACACAAGGGTGGCTCCAGCCCCATTTTTTCCAGGGGGAGCGTGTTCGAGCCGCGCACGGTGTTGGTTCCAGCCTGTAATCCCACCAGCCCTCTGGGCTTAGGTGGTTTAGAGAGTTTCCTCTTCCACCCCTCCTTCTTCCCCTGCGGGCAAGGTTTACCCCTCCCCCTACCCCCTCCCCTGGACCTGGACGGGGGGCGCGGCGACGCGTTGGAGCGTCCAAGATGGCCCAAGACGGTTCCAAGAGCGCTTCGGAAAGCCCAAGATGACCTCCAAGATGGCTCAAGATGGGCCAAGATGCATCAAGATGGCTCTGAAGATGCTCCAAGAGGCCCCAAGACCGCCCCAAGACGGCTCCAAGAGGCTAGATAGCTCCCCAAGGAGTCCTCCAAGAGGCTAGAATCCTCCAAAAACATAAGGGAAACCAATAATTGTTGCCTTCTCGCCTTTTCGCATCCGATGGCCTTCCGAGGCCCAAGATGGCTCCAAGAGGGCCCAAGATAGCCCCAAGAGGGGCACAAGAGGACCCCAAGACGGCCCCAAGAGCGCCCAAGAGCGCTCCAAGAACGCCCCAAGAGGGGTCCAGGAGGCTATTTTGGGGGCTCCCGAGGGGCGGTGCTAACGAAGGAACCCCCCTTCTTTGATCGATCGCCTCCAAGATGGCCCCAAGAGGCGCGCATGAGGCCCCAAGAGGCGCCAAGATCGCCCCAAGAGGCCTCCAAGAGGCCCCCCCTCGACGCACTCAAGACGCCCGAGAGCCCCCCCAGGACCGCCAAGAGACCCCCCAGGCGTCCCAAGATGCCTCCAAGAAGCGCCCCAGAGATATCCCAAGAGGCTCCGAAAGGCATTCAAGAGACCTCTGGTATTTTTGCTCGCCCTCCTCCTCCTCCTCTTCCTCCTCGCCGCCGTTGTCGCCGCCGCCGCCATCGCCGCCGCCGCTGCCGCCGCTATCGTCGCCGCCGTCGCCGCCGTCGTCGTCGTCGAAAGACCAAGAGACCCCCAAGAGGCCTCAAGAGGATCCCCGAGGCGCTCCAAAACCCCCCCGGGGCCGCCAAGAGGCCCACGCGATGCCCCGCGAGGCCTCCAACAAGCTCCCAAGATACATCCGAAGAGACTCCGGCAAGCATTCAAAAAGCCTCTGGCCATCGTGCTCTCACTTTTCCTCCTCCTCCTCCATCTCCTCCTCCTCCTCCTCCTCCTCCTCCTCCTCCTCCTCCTCCTCCTCCTCCTCATCCGCCTATTCCTCCTCCTCCCTCCTCCCTCCTCCCCCCTCCCCCATTCCCACCTGCTGCCCCTCCTCCCCCTCCCGTTCCTCCTCCTCGTCCTCTTCCGATTCCTCCTCCATCCTCGCCGTCTTGGATCAGACGGGCTCCCTGATCGCCTCCATTCGCCTGGGCATTCGCTGGTCGAGAACCAACAACACCAGCAACAGAAGCAGTACCAGCAGGAGCAAGAGCACCACCAGCAACACATGCAACCTTCGCCACAAAAGATTCACTATGAGCGTCTCTGCTTCCCTTCTTCCGTCAGCTCCCCTACGCATCGATTGTGGATGGGCTTGTGGGGATATTGTTTTGGTCGCGGCCACGAGACAAGGGTCAGGCGGCAAAAGCAAAGTCCGGGGCGCGAGCGAGGCGAATTAGCTACAACAGGCACAGGCCGGCCGGCCCGCTCACAAAGCAGCCGCGAAGCTGAGGGGAGCTGACGGCAGGGGCATCCTGAGAGCTCGAACGCGCGCGCAGACAAAATGCCATGGAATTCGGTGCCTGCCAGAGTATGAGACGTGAACCAGGATCACGAAGTCCGTCAATCAGAGTGGGGGCAAGTGGGAGGCCACTGGAGTGAGTCGCCGGTGGGACGCCAGGCTCCAAACGCCATGACGACGTGAGCTAGCCAGGGGGGCTGAGCTGTCGCGAACCGTGATGCCACGCAACTGGGAAAAGCTGATGGTGAGCCTGGGGGGCTTGAGCTGCTGCGAGGGCTGAACCACTCCGTGGCGATACCAACGCCCGTCAGACCACCCCACAGTGCAAGGGGAACCAAGCGACTGTGAGCCACGCAGTGCGTGCCGGCACGGCGTCAGGCCTCTGAATGGGGGGGGAAGACCAGCTGGCGTGGTGAGCATCGCCAGCGGGGAAGAGTAAGGCTGAAGGACACCAAACTGAACCGGGGACAAGCATATCCCCAAGTGAACAGACCTGGCTGTACCTCCCGGGGCACGTGGCGCCTGTGCGAGCAAGGCGTACCGATGCCATTCGGCGATGCGCCTGGGGGGAACTGCGTTGTGGCAGACACGAGAGCCAACGGACGCCATGTCCTGACCCTGTCCGCCTCTTGGCACTTCCACCCAAGACGCAGGAAACGTCAACACACACCACGTGAGCCTCCAGGGTCGCAGCTAACCGCCGCTGAAAGTGATGAGCCATACCACGGACAGCGAGGGACACGGGCGGCCCTGGGAGGGGGGGGGCTGGTGGGGATACTTTTTTGATTGGCGGCTCCAAGGACAGATCCAGGAAGCGGGACGGACTCGGCTGGGGCAAACTGGTGGGGATACGCGTAGTGTCTAGAATTTCTGCCCAGCGCGACTGTTCCAACCACCCACTGTGTGGATTCCAGCTCAGCGAGGGTGTTCCAGCCGCCCACGGCAAATTCTCACTAGAAAATGAATCCATTGACTGGCCAGGCGGTGGACTATTTTTGGTACTGAAGCTCGAATGACCACATCATATCGGGCATACGTTGGGTCCAGCATCTTGTTTTCAACCTCGTTGCATCCGTAGCCGCTTTGGCTCCAATGGCGTGCGTTCAGACCGCGCCATGGCGTGGGCGACGACCGACGACCGAGACGATGACGACGACGACCGACGACGACCGACGACGACAATCGAGCGAACGGCGATACCCGAACGACGCGGACCGACGCGGACCGAACGACCAAGGACCGGCCGAACAACGACGACCGACAGACCGACCGAAACGACGACGACCGATATACCGACCGACCGACCGAGACGACGACAGATGACGACCGACGGACCGACCGACCGACCGACGGACCGAGACGATGACGCCCGCCGACGACCCAGACGACCGACGGACCGACTGACTGACAGACAAGCGCGCGGACTGACCCAGTTTGGCACCGCGGAGTGGGTACATCGCTGGGACTCCCGCCCCAGGCCCGTGCCCGTCCCTGACCCCGGCTTCTCTATCATTTTAACGTCCTAAGCCTGGTGGGGTTCCAGCCCTCATGTTTTCTGAAGGAAGGTGTTCCAGCCGCCTATGCCGACAAGAAGGGGTGGTTCCAGCCCCCCACTGTTTACTCAGCGCGAGTGCTCTGGCCGCCCACTGTGCGGGTTCCAGCTCAGCGAGAGCGTTCCAGCCGCCCACGGCGTGGGTTCCGGCCATGCATTTTTACTCAGCGCGAGCGCTCCAGCCGCACAAGGCGTGGGGTCCAGTCATGCACTTGAAACGATCAGGGGCGTTCCAGCCGCCCACGGCGCGGGGACCAGCCACGCATTTTTACCGAGCGCTAGCGTTCCAGCCGCGCACGGCGTCGGTTCCAGACATGCATATTTACCAAGCGCGAGCGTTTCCAACCGCACACGGCGTGGGTTGAAACCATGTGCTTTTACGGAGCGCGAGCATTCCAACCGCCCACGGCAAATTCTCACTATCAAAATAGTCCACTGACTGTAAGGCCGGCTTTTCGTCCCGAGTCGTGCACTGACGGACCAGAGGCGGCCCGGCGAGGGCCCCTGGAGGCCGGAAAAGGCGAAAAACCGACCGCTCCATTTTTTCTGAGCTTTGGATCTCTGGACAAACCTCCTTTTGATAAACCGCCCTAGTAGTGAAAACGGCCCAGAACCGAAACCGACGGATCAGGACCCGCACAAATGGCGGCCGCGAAGCCCTCTCGCGAACCAAAAATTGCCCATTGGCTGATCGACGCGTCAAGGTAGGAGGTCTATCAACCTTCGAAGCAAGTCTCGGCAACGAACGCATTCTTGACCCAAATCTGAGGAACGGCCCCGAAACCAACGCCCCTCCCGAGTCCAGTGTTTTTTTAAGTTCAGCGTCTTGAATGCATTCCCGGATAGTTCCTTGTGAGAGCTAAAAGAGTTGTGAGAAAAGAAGCCGGCCGGCAGGGCTACGCCAGCTCCTCTCCAAGGCTCCCGGTCAGGCATCCCCGCAGCGCCTTGCTTGACCCCGCAGCGTGTCCCGAGAAGCGTTTTCCTACTCGTTCCCAATACACGTGTCCCGAAGCTTCTCTGCGAAGCATCTCCGCAGCGCTTTGGGGGGTCCTCTCTTGAGAGCCTACGGGCTTCCTCGAGACCTCGCGGGAGACGCTTCGAAGCGTCTCCCGCGAGCTTGGAACCTCTCCAGGCATCCTATCCGGGGTTCCCCCCCTTCCGTGTGGTTCCCGGATAGCTCCTTAGAGCTACGTTAGGGTTGTTAGATTAGAAGCCGGCGCCGCAAGGTCGCCCTGGAGATCGTTCCGGCTTCCGGCAGGAATCCCGACAGCGACTTGCTTGAACTCGCAGCGTGTTCCGGCCAGCGTTTTCCTACTCGTTCCCAATACGCGTGCCTGGAAGCCTTCCAGCAGGGCGTTCGGAAACTCTCCCCAGGTCCTTCCAGCATGCTTCGCCAGTCCTCCAAACGCTGTTCGGGCGCCCTGCTATCTGGGTCTGGGACTACACAAGTGTTGTGTTGCCCCCATCGCACTTGAGGACCACATCCCAGAGATTCTGGGGAGAAGGACGCGCATCACATGTTGCGGTGCTCTCGGGCCAGCGGTGGAACGTGCCACGGGCGATGGGCGCTAAGTGGGGCGACGAGCCGTGACGGGCCACGGCGCGCGGTGCTCGAGGGGCTGCCGCTCCGCGTGCGCCGCCGCCCCTTGGCACGCCGGCGGCAGCTGCCGCAGGCACCCGGATAGTTCTCCGAGGAGATGAACCAGATGAACTTCTCGAACCACCACGTCTGCCTCGTCCGGCGGATGGTCTGCTTCAGCTCGAACTTCTTCAGGTCCTTCTCGGCCTTCTTCTCGGCCTGCTTCACCTGGTGGAGGAGAACAGCGGGCACAGAAACTTTCGGAGCTTCGCGCGGACTTCTTGGATCTGCGCTGGGTCCCGCTGGCAGCACGCTCTCCGTGCCAAGGAGAGGGGCCCAGCGCAGATCCAAGAGATCCCAACGGAGTTCCGAAAGTTTACGCTCACGCATGTTTTGGGGCCTTTAAAGTTGTAAGGTAGGGTCGGCGCAAGTTTCTTCGCATCACGCTACGTGAGTGACGTATTCCCCTCGTCCATCACCGCGATCTCCGCCTGGGTCAGGGTCCGCGATGTCTTGTCGCGGGTCTCCTTCCGCCGCGAGTGCAGCCTGGACACGTTCGCGCGCGCGGAGAGGTTCAGGTCGAGGGGCACCACCTCCATAGGCCGGTCCTCCTCGGCTCTGTGGCGGTTGGGGGGGGAATAATCGAGACCAAGGGACGACGCACCACCTTCTGCCATGGCTGTGCCAGATCCTTGCACCACTCGGCGAGCGCGCGATCAAAACTTGAAGACAGGCAGAGAGGGATCGTGGGGAAGACGGCTGTGGAGCAACCTGGAAACACACAGAAACAACAACGCCGTGGAGGAGAGGAAGGACGGCGACGGGCGACGAGGGGGACAAGACGCCAAGAGGCGGAAAAGCAAGACGAGAAAAACGACGAGGACGACGTCTGGTCCTCCTCTGAGTCGTCGCCGGCCTCGCCGTCCTCCTCGACGTCAACCGCCTGCGCGGTCAGCAGCAGCTTCACCTCGTTGCGTTGCAGGTCGAGCGAGTGGATGTGCTGCGCGATGGGGTGCCCCAGGCGCTGCTGGCGCTTCACCTCGCGCCAGAGCTCGCCCCAGTCGACCTGCGAGGCCACCATGGTGTTGAGCATGTCGAGCACGCGCGTCACCAGCTCCACGTTCGCCTTGCATGTTTTGTTTGGTGTGTGTGTTGTTTGTTGTGTGTGTGTGTGTTTTGCTGTATTGTTCAGCGCGTATTGTTGCTGGAACCCCTATATCCGATATCCGCCCTGGCGCGCTCTCGCCTCGGCGCCGGCGCTCGAGCGTTTCGGGGGGGCGCCGAAACGCGCCCTCAAACAAGAACAACAATGACGCTCCCGCTCGATAATTCCTCACGTTCTACTCGAGACCCATGCTTTTGCGCACCGCCGAAAGCTGGCCCTCAAACACAACCAGCGATTCCCGCTTGATACTTTCTAGCTTTTTGCTCGGAGCTGGTGCTCTCGCCTCGGTTCCGCAAACGGCCCCCCCCCCCAGAAACAGCGACGCTTCCTCCTCCTCCTCCTCCTCCTCCTCCTCCTCCTCCTCATTCTCCTCCTGCTGCTCCTGCTCCTGCTCCTGTTCCTCCTCCTCCTCCTCCTCCTGCTGGTCCTGCTCCTGCTCCTCCTCCTCCTCCTCCTCAATCTCCTCCTCCTCCTCCTCCTCCTGATCCTTCTCCTCCTCCTCCTCCTGATCCTCCTCCTCCTCTCGCTCGCCGCCGAAACCAGCCCTTCAGCAACGCCAGCGTTCCCGTTCGCTACTTCCTCGTCTTTTACCTACAGTTATACTTGATTGGACAGGCCACGCAAGAGGACACAAGACCCTTCCGAGTGCCACGTGCTTACGCCTGGGCGCCGCCAGCCAGCCACCCTTCAAACAACACCGCTCCCGCTCGATGCCTGCAAGCTTTTTGCTCGGGGGGGGGCGTTCCCGCTCGCCGCCGAGAGCCCGCCCTCCGAGATTCAGCGCTCCCGCTCGATACTTCCTGTCGTCGTGCTCAGGAGTGGCGCTCGCCGTTCGGCGCCGCAAACCCCACCCCCACCTTAACAGACTTCCCGCTCGAGACTTCCCTGCAACAGTACCGCTACCATGCAACCTCCCTAGCTGAAAGTCTTTTTTGGGCGGGAGATCAAGGTGTGGGAATACCGGCCACCTTATACAGTTCCCCCTATGAGGGGGTGGCATCATGATGGAAACATGTGGCATTCGATTTGTTCTCATTTCTAGAACTGATGTTTGTTGATCCCCCTCCCCTGCCTCTTGCGCTTTTCAATCGGAGTGCCCCTCCCTGAACTCGCACCTGGCCTTCTACCAAGGATAAATCTTGGGCCTCGAACTGTGTCGCCAAACCCCACGTGCACTACAACAACGGCTCTCACTGGATACTCCCTCCTCGCTGATTGAAACAGCTTGCCTTCGATGGAGATGTTCTTTGGCGGCGAGCGAGGCGGGGAAATGAAAAGAAGGCGGAGAAGGCCTTCTCAGAAGGCGGCGGGACTTCTCAGAAGCCCTCGCGCCTTCGGACAAGTTTTCTGCGTATTCGGAGAAGGTGTAGAACACTTCTCAGAAGGCCGGGGGACTTACGAGCCTTCTGAGAAGGCCCGACCCTTCTCACTTCCTCCCCTCGCTCGCGGCCGACTCCTGGCAATGCATACTGGGATCGCGGGATCGCGCTCTCGCTCGAGACTTCCGCACAGTGTACTCACGAATCGCTCCCTCGGTGCTCTGGAATCGCGCTCCCGCTCGGACCCCCTCGCGTCTCTTCAGGAGCCGCGCTCTCGCTACGAGGCTTCCTCGCCGCCCCCTCTTGCGAACCCCTCCTGCCAATCCCTCTACTCCCTGATCTTCTCCCTCCCTTCCCCTTCCCTCCTCCCTCACCTCCCTTCCCTTCTCCCTCCCTTCCCCTTCCCCTCCCCTTCCCTCGTCCTCTTGCCCCCTTCCCTCCCCCCTCCTTCCTCCACTCCCTTCCCGGCTGCGCCAATCACGCGTGACAGGGAAGGAAGATACACTTCCCCCTCTGAGGGGGCAGGATACAAAAAACGAGGAGGGACGGGCATCCAGGGTGCGGGAGGGGGACCTGGGAGGGCACCTGCGAGCAGTTCATGAATGCACACCCGGTTGCCTGGGCGATCGGCCCAGCAAGAGATGGAGGGAGGAGGAGGAACAGGAGGAGGAGGAGGAGGAGGAGGAGGAGGAGGAGGAGGAGGAGGAGGAGGAGGAGGAGGAGGAGGAGGAGGAGGAGGAGGAGGAGGAGGAGGAGGAGGAGGAGGAGGAGGAGGAGGAGGAGGAGGAGGAGGAGGAGGAGGGGGGCGCGAGGAGGAGGAACAAGCGCCAAACCTGTGACGCTCCGCGCGGATCTCTTGGATCTGCGCTGGACCCTCCTCCCTGGCGCGCCAGGGGCGGCGCTGGAGGCGCCGCCGGGGGGCCCAGCGCGGATCCAAAAAATCCGCGCGGAACGCCAAACGTTTATGTTTATGGCGTTGTTCCTTCTTCGAATGACGCCTGGGACAACTACCAGCCCGACCTCTCCGGTGGCGTGGCCAAAGTCCCCATGCGGATGGGCGTTGACCTCCTCTCCGAGCTCGTTCGAACGCTCGGGCACGGCCCGCTGCAGCACTGTGTCCTTTCCTGCAGGGGTGGAGCGGCGTTGCCAGACCTTGCGAACCGCGCGCCCCCCTCCCAGCCATGCCAGCGGAGCCATCCAGGGTGCTTGCTGACCTCGAGCCACTTCGAGGAAAGATAACTATGCACATACACCGATTCTGGCCAGGCCCACTTTCGAGTCCAGGATGGGCCTGACCAAGATCGGTGCATGTGCATAGCTCTCGTCGCCTGGCCACTACCGCATCCAGCCTGCACGGAGCTCTTGCATCGAATCATCGCCTCACTGGCACCAGTTGAGATGGTCCGCCCCGCCCCGCGACCTGCCCGCGACGACAAGGACATCGCCGATCTTATGATTGACCACGTCCGGCAGCCACATCACAAGTTTGATGAGGCATAGCAAGAAATTGCCCTGGAACGGCGCACCGGGGACCCAAAGGGATGCCGCTCACGAGCGAGGGAGGCGAGGTGCTGGGCCTGCGGAGTGCCTCGACTTCCTGGCCACGGCCTGCAGACCGGGGTGCCCATCGGCGGAGCTCCGGCAAATTGCCCCTGGGACGGCAGACGCGCAGCCCTACCACAGATCCTTGCCCGGAGGATCGCGACCAAGAGCAGAGATGAGGCCGGAGTCGGGGAAGACAGCCCGCGACTAGCTTGGGCAACCCTCCTGGGGACTGGGGCGGCCGTTCGGGGCACGGACCCGCGCCGATAATTACGAAGCGGGCACCTTGGCATCCTTCCTGGCGAGCCAGCACGTCCGCCACCTCGGGCGCTGCCAAGCTGACCAGCCATCGCAGGCCCGACGGGGCGCGTCCCAAACCCCGCCGCGGGCTCTGTCGCGGCGACAGGGGGCGGCGACAGACGACCAAGGCACCGACGCAGGCCGCGCTGGCACCCCAACGACCCAAGGGACCGAAACCCGAAGCCCACCAGCGGAGGCGCCCAGACACAGGGGGACGGCCCAGCGGCAGGACGTGGCGCCCAGGGACGACGGCGGCCAAGCCCCAGCGGCACCCAGTCAGACGGAGGAGGCTGCTCACCCCAGCCCGAACACGAACGAGTCGCGATCAAACGCAGCAGCGTTCATCCCATCTTGTTGGCCCGACGGTTTTGTCCTGTATGGCTGCCTCCTGGCCGCTCTTCTTGTACGGCCTCGCCCTCGTGTCCCTATGCTGCTTAACCGCAATAAGCAATAAAAGCCCCCCCGGGGTTGTCGTTAGCACCGTACCGTAATTAAATGATTATTTGGGGCGGTTTTCGCGGAACTATATCTTGAGCACCGCGCAAATGAAAAGGAGACTATATAATTCCCGCGCCTTGGCTCGGGCGGTATCCCAACCTGACTCGTGCTACTGCCCCATAGGTCTCCCCCATAGGACCCCCCCAATAGAATTCCCCCATTGGACTCTCCCATAGGACTCTCCCGTAGGACTCCCCCACAGGATTCCCCCACAGCAGACTCGTTTGCGTTCAGAGCAGTTCCCGAGGATGTCTCAGGCGAGGCGCTTGTTTCAGAACCGCACGGAGGCCAGATTGCGAGAATGTTTCAGGCGGTTTCCTTGTTTCGGCGGGCGGACTCGTCCGCGTTCAAAGCATGTTGCGAAGTACCAAGGTAACGTTTCCATGGTGCTGGAGCGTCATACTTTCGCCGGAGAGGGGGGGGCGGCTTTCTCATTACCTCTCCGGGTTACCCGTGGCGTTGCCTGGGTCTGCTCTTTCGTCCGCAAAACCGGCCAGTTCTCCCCTCGCCGGATCGCGGACGTTCAGTACATGCAAGGTCTTCCACTCACGGCTCCTTTCCACCGTAGACCACGCAGTTTCCACATGGCTGCACGGCTGCGGCACGCCCATGGAAAACTACATGTTCTGACAAGCCTCCTTCTCTTGTTTCGGCCACGCGCAAGAGTGACCCTGCGTAAGAGCGACCCTTGGTGCGCGGATTTTGGGGGGGCGCGGAGGGACCACACTCAGGCGCGCAAGACGCTGCTATCGCGTCGCAATCGGTGATGGGGGGCCCCATGGTGCCCGCACCAGAGGTCACCCCGGTGAAAGGTCACTCTTACGCGCAGTAGATTACCGACGCCTGCTCTCTCTTGCGCCCGCGGACCCAACAACTTTTTCCAATCGAGGCGCCCCTCCTGGGGCTCGCGCCCGGTGTCTACGAAAGAAAATCCGCCGACCCCTCGGGGTTCCATCGGCGCGTGAGATGCTTCCCCCTCCCCAAACCCCTTCCACCGGGAGCCGGGCCCAATCGATTTGGAAAAGGGGGGGGGGCGTCTATCTGGGCGGCCGGGGGGGCACCTTGCTCCAGGAATTCTAGAAGGCATCGAGGGCGTCAAAACAGGCCACGAGGGCCCCGAGAGGGGCGGCCGAAGATGCCTCCAAGACGCCTCGATAAGCTTCGAAGAGGCCTCCCAAGAGGGCCCCAAGAAACCCAAATCGGTGATTTTCGCATACGTACACACATATGTGTGTATATACATATATACATATCCATATATGCTAAGGGCGGTTCCCAAGATCTGTGTTTTATTGCCGCAAA